CTTAGCCCAGTAATCATAGTTGCTTTAAATTCATGGTCTCTACCCTACTTGAATCAGATGGTTGCTACGTACCTCTTCAAATTGTGCTTTTGTCTTTTAATGCGCCTTCTAAGTTTTTCTTGAAAGACAGACATGAGGTACTGGATGAGAGAAACTGCACTAAATCGCAGGGGTCAGGGGAAGGAAAATGTTCTACAGAACGTTAGATCTGTGGTTAGATCTCAGTCTTTTAGTTAGCATGGGCCTCCTAACTCTCAACTTCACAAATGCCTTCTGTCTTCCTCTTCACTCCCTTTAGGTGGGACAGGATGATAGGAGGGGCTGGAACTGAGAATTTCATGTAAGAATTCCCATGTGGAAGACTAAAAGCCCGCTAAGTTTGGATATTTCCTTTCTTCTACTTCACTTAGGCTCTGACAAAATCCCAATAATTCAGGCTCTGTTAAAGTACCTTCCCTTGAGTACAGGCCCTGTGAAGAAGTAGGGTACAGTCTGGTGCATTTCAAAATGGTTAATTTACCTATGCCCCCTGCCAGAAACCCCTGAGGATTTTTCTCTGATATTCACTGTGAGAACCTGATAGAGCTCCAGGAAACAAAACTCACAAAACTGTGGGGACCTGCTAGAGTTTTTAACTCTCGTCCTCTCTGCATGAATCTCCAGCAATTCTCATTAGAGTTCAGATTCCCTTACCCAGGCACAGATTTCATTGGAAGTTTCTGCCTGTATGTTTCTGCTTAAGTTTTTCTCTGTATGGTCCATCTTTGGAATGTTTAGGGGTAGTAATTTGCTCTGGTATGTCATTTCTTTAACAGATGTAAGGGAGTAATTTCAGTTTGCTCAGATTTTCACATTTTAGAATGTAGCAGCAACTTCCAAGCTCCTTTCTGAGATCAGAAACTGGAAGTCCTAATCCTATATCTTAGGGGTGAGCATGTTCTCATCATGTCTACTCCAGTTCACAATATTTTGTTCTTCCTTGTCCTTTTGTGAAGTTTGGGGTTGTTTTGCTTTGTTTTGAGACAGGGTCTTGCTCTCTTCCCTGGGTTAGAGTGCAGTGGTATCATCATAGCTCACTGCAACCTCAGAATCCTAGGCCAAGCAATCCTCCTACCTCAGCCTCCTGAGTAGCTGGGGCTACAGGCATGTGCCACCATGTCTGGCTAATTTTTAGTATTTTGTAGAGATAGAGTCTCACTATGTTGTTCAGGCTGGTCTGGAATTCCAGGGCTCAAATGATCCTCCCACCTCAGCCTCCTAAAGTGCTGAAATTACAGGTGTGAGCCACCACGCCCAGCACCCTTTGAAATTCCTAGTCCTTCTAATACAAGGACTACGTTCAATCTACTTACCCCTGAATATTATGAGAAACAACCCTGAAAAATGAATAAAAAGAAAACTTTATCAAAGAATCAAATTATTTGAGAAAAATAAAGGTGATAAATTTTTTGCAAAACTTAAAAATAGATGTTTTTGGTATTTCTTCATTAGCTTATTTGAAAGGATTTTTTTTTTTTTTTTTT